TCTCATACAAACTCCGAATATACAAGTTTCCCAAGACCACGTGGGGATTGAGCAAGTGTAATTGGATACCAAGAGCGGGAATTTTTAGTTGTTTCCTTTGGTTGCATTGCGTTATCGGCACGTGCGCAAGTCAAACTTTGATGCAGAATTAAAAATGCTTTTCTTACGGGCGATTCTCTGTATAAGAATGAAGTTTCAGACAACTTTCCTTGGAAGATACATCACAACAAATTTTATTTCTGCTCATGTAGCATGCACGACTCTTTTATTATTATTATTATTATTTTATTATTTTAATAATAATTATTATTATTATTATTACTATTATCATGTTATTATTATTTTTATTATGATTGTTTTTATATCTTATCCGCCTTTTCCGTGAAATCCGTTGTATCCAGCCCAAAAGTAGAGTTTCTTCTTTGATACCTTCATTAAAATTCTTATTTAAGTCCAAGAAATCCGTATTGTCCACTCTTATGGAATACAACTCTGGTGTCCGTCAATGTCAATAATAGGGAGCTTAAGCAACGACGGCGGCGACGTTGAAGAGAACGGAATAACGCAGTAGGTTTCGATTGGCAAAACAACAACTTTGCACGTGCATCACGCTTTTTTGTACATTTCTTTGCCGTCGTTGCATGACTACAACATGAAAGTGCCTAATTTCACGTTTTGTCGAGGACGGGAGCACGAGACAACAACTTTCCTTTTCTTTTCCTGAACTTTGATACAGTCCTTTAGAATTCAACTCCAAAAAAATTTGCCAACATTTGACGAATTAAACAAGGTGGAACAAGCGCGGTAAAGTTTGAAGCAGCGCAAATTCACTTTTTAAGGGACGTTTCCGTAGACGTCGCCGTCGTCGTTGCTTAAGCTCCGTAATTATAACTTTATTCCGGTGGAAGGAATTTTTTTCCGGATTTGGCGGATTTAGTTGATTTTTTCCTCTATTTTACCCAATGTGTTTTAGAAACAGGAGAGTGATGTATGTGTTTGTTTTGATTTAGCCCTCAAAATTCTCAATGAACGATACAAGCTGTATCATGAAGTAAGATCGCCCTGGGTAAACCCTTGTTTGCTGATATAAATTTAAGGCTAACATCTCTTCATACAGTGTAGGAACAAGCGTTCCTTTCAATGGCCGTTCCTCTCACAAGGCACGCTTTCGTAGAAAAACGTCCAGATTTATTTGCAGTTTTTAGCAAAAGATCTGAGAATGTGCTTTTTAGGTTTTTCCTGCATAAAACTATTAAGAGATATAGTTTTAGAAAGATCTTCGCGGTACTTAGTATTATTTTATGGCTTCAAAAAAAGGGAACTGAATTTTTGGGAAACGATCATCATCATCATCATCATCATCATCATCATCGTCATCATC